TAAACATTAAAATTAACATAGCCATCTTAAAATTAACATAGTCATTTTAACATTAACATAGCCACTTTAACATTAACCTAACCATTTTAACATTAACATTAACATGGTCATATATAAAATTAAAATTAACATAGCCATTTAAACATTAACATTAACATAGCCATTTTAAACATTAACATATAGCCATTTAACATTAACATTATTATAACCATTTTAAAATTAACATTAACATAGCCATTTTCACATGAACATTAACATAGCCATTTTAACATTAACATAGCCATTTTTAACATAACTTAGAGCAAAGAGCACCCTCTTTTGTTTTTCATTCGTTGATACTGTATAGATATTACAGGATTATTTTGACCTCTGTGCAGGTGTTCATATGTCAGAAATGTGTACTCCCTGAATCCAGGGCATCAGTGATGCATTCACAAAATTGTGATCTGTCCGAGATCACGAAATAAAAAAGAGTATACTTAATAAAAGAGGCCCATGGGCCTTGTAGGTCACCTGAGCATTATGCAACAACTTTCCAGTGATTGACTTTGATTTATGTTTTAAGCCTGATGCTATGACATTTCACAATTTTGAAAGAGGCACCATTGATCATCATAATTATACATTTAGCAGTTGCTTCGTTTGTCTACTTAATACCCATAGGCAGGGTAGGGGAACAAATAATGCATTTCAACTAATCAGTAATATTCAGCAATAATCAGTAGTGCCCCTACCACACATAACCCCTGACCCTTAGGCCTAGATCCACACATTGCACAATTTTTGAAAAGGCATCCTTGCTGAACTTGACTGTAATGAACTGAAAAATTATAGACCAGTTTCCAACTTACCATTTATTTCAAAAATACTCGAAAAGGTAGTATCAAAAAGACTAAAGCATCATCTGGAAGTGAACAATCTACAGGAACCACTGCAGTCAGCATATCGAGCATGCCACTCTACAGAGACGGCACTCCTCCGAGTCCATCATGACATTGTATCAGCGCTTGATAAAAATTCCTGTATGGCCCTAGTGATGCTAGACTTGTCTGCTGCGTTTGATGTGATCGACCATCCCATCTTACTCAGACGTCTCAGGTTCTCTTTTGGGATTTCTGGGGCAGCTCTGGAATGGATCGAATCCTACTTGACACAGCGCACACAAAGAGTAGTCATCGGTGGGAGGGATTCCGAAGATCTTGTTCTGCGGTTCGGAGTACCACAAGGTTCAGTGCTTGGACCAGTCTTGTATTGCCTTTTCTCGAAACCTATTGGTAAAATTTGTCGTGATCATGGCATGCTGTTCCACTGTTATGCAGATGACACACAAATATACCTTGTTATAAAACCGAACGAAACATGGTCAGACTTAAAAAGTCGACTAGAAACTTGTTTAGCAAACGTGAGAAGCTGGATGTGCGCAAATCTACTAAAATTGAACCAGGATAAAACTGAGTTTATTGTCTTTACACCAAAGAGTCAGCTTAAAAGATCTTTTACACACCAACTTGATTTTGATGGCTCTGTCATCTGTGAATCAGATTGTGTGAAGAATTTGGGAGTGTTTTTCAACAAATCACTTACCATGGAGAATCAGATTAGCGCAGTGTCCAAATCCTGTTTTTACCACCTAAGAAATATTAGTCGAATTCGTCAATTCATAACAGAAGATGCTTGTAAGACTCTAGTTGTCGCTCTAGTTACATCAAGACTTGATTATGGAAATGCACTACTCTGTGGAATTACAGAGACAAATATATCACGACTACAGAGAGTACAAAATACGGCAGCAAGGATTGTCACCCGAACTAAGAAGCATGATCATATCTCCGAAGTCCTGATATCTCTTCACTGGCTTCCAGTTAAATTTAGAACATGTTATAAGATCCTTTTATACACTTTCAAAGTACTCCAGGGGACATCACCATCATACCTAAAGGAACTCATAACAGTCTATAAACCGTCAAGAACTCTACGCTCGTATGACTCCAAACAACTTGTGAAACCTCGTGTTCGCACGGAGACATACGGAACGCGTCGTTTTGACCATGCAGCAGCAACTTTGTGGAATGGCTTACCGGACGCTCTCCGGTTCCAGACGTCACTTTTAGCTTTTAAACGAGATCTTAAGACTCATCTTTTTAAGATAGCATACGACGTGTAAATTTTTTATTTTTTGAACAAGTTATCGAGTTTTATTGTCCTCAGACTATGTATTTGGGCACAACCTGTATTGTGTGAAATTTTTAAGTTGATCTCAATTTGATCTTAGTCTAGCAGCTTATAATTTTAGCTAACTCTTATGTTAGGTACGATCTCGTACAATGATTTTAGGTTTTATGTTTTTATGATTATTGTGTTGTATTTAACTACTTGTATATCTGAAATAGTGTCTGTTCAGCGCCTTAGAGTAATTTATTTTAAATAGGGCGCTATACAAATGTTATTATTATTATTATTATATTATATTTTCAAAAATATTTGATTATTACCAAGAAGCAGGTTTCAAACAATTCATTCATTTTCAGTATATGAGTACAGCCCCCCCCCCTATGGTACCCCTGACCCTGGGGCCTTGAAATTCAGAATTCTGGAAGATTAGGGCCCTTGCTCATCATAACTACATAGGTAGTTCATCTGCTTAATACCCGGGAGCATAGAAGAAAATTTTCGAAGATTTAATGTATTTTCACTATATAATCAATAGAGCCCAACCCTAACACCAGAACCCATGACCCCGGGGCCATAGAATTCACAATTTTGGTAGAGGCACTCTTGCTCATCATAACTATGTACTTAGTTAGTTTATTAAATACCTAGGAGCAGAGAAGAAAATTTTCAAAGAATTCATGTATTTTAACTATGTAATCAATAGAGTCCCACCCTAACACCAGAACCCCTGACCCTGGGGCCATAAAATTCACAATGTTGGTAGAGGCACTCTTGAATATCATAACTATGTACTTAGTTAGTTTATTTAATACCTAGGAGCAGAGAAGAAAATTTTCAAAGAATTCATGTATTTTGACTATGTAATCAATAGAGTCCCACCCTAACACCAGAACCCCTGACCCTGGGGCAATAAAATTCACAATTTTGGCAGAGGCACTCTTGCTCATCATAACTATGCATTTAGTTAGTTTATTTATTACCTAGGAGCAGAGAAGAAGATTATCAAAGAATTCATGTATTTTCATTATATAATCAATAGAGCCCCGCCCTAACATCAGAACCTCTGACCCTGGGGCCATAAAATTCACAATTTTGGTTGAAGCACTCTTGTTCATCATTACTATGCACTTAATTAGTTTATTTAATACCTAGGAGCAGAGAAGAAGATTTTCAAAGAATTCATGTATTTTCACTATGTAATCAATAGAGCCCCGCCCTAACACCAGAACCCTTGACTCTGGGGCCATAAAATTCACAATTTTGGTGGAGGCACTCTTGCTCATCATAACTATGCACTTAGTTAGTCTTTTTAATACCTAGGAGCAGAGAAGAAAATTTTCAAAGAATTCATGTATTTTCACTATATAATCAATACAGCCACGCCCTAACACCAGATCCCCTGACCCTGGGGCCATAGAATTCACAATTTTTGTAGAGGCACTCTTGCTCATCATAACTATGTACTAAGTTTGTTTATTTAATACCCCGAAGCAGAGAAGAAGATATTGAAAGAAATAATGCATTTTCACTATTTACTTATTTAGCCCCGCCCTAGCACAAGAACCCCTGACCTCAGGGCCATGAATTTCTCAATTTTGGTAGAAGACTCAATGCTAATTACAATCATGCATACAGTTTGACTGCTTGATGTCCAGGAGTAAAGGAGAAGATTTTTAAAGATTGCATTAATTTTAGTGGTTTTGGCCCCACCCCTCAGGCCCCAGGAGGGCAGGGATCATGAAATTCACAATTTTTGTTCCCCTTCACCCATAGATGCTTTGTGCCAAATTTGGTTCAAATTGGATCAGTGGTTGCAGAGAAGAAGCTGAAAATGTTCAAATGTTAACGCACAATGCACGACGACGGACGAAAACGGATAGCATACTCAGGTGACCTAAAAATAAAACGAAGTAATCGTCACACGTGAGCGCTCGCTTCATCATCGGAGTATAGCAGTTTCAAAACTCGACCGCAACTGACCTTATAAGATAAAAAAAAAATTCTATTTACAGTATTCAATTTAAAAATATAATTTACCACTGATGGTAAGCATTGTAGGCACCCTAACTCTCCAGATGACCTTCACCAATATAACACCGGTAATACATTGTCTAGCAGACTGATGGTGTATTGCGAAGTTTATCAAGGACAGATGATACAAACTTTTGTCTTAAAAATTGAAAATAACAACTCGAGTCATGTTTTAATGAATAAAATGAAAAGGTTTCACCGCAAATTTTTGCATATTTTTTATTCAAAGTTTCAAAGAGAAAATATTTGCATTGAGCTCACACAAAACTTTTAAACATTCCTTAAGTATCACAGTGATAAATAATTTATACATTTAAATTTGGTTTCAATTTGACATAATTCATCAGTAAATGATGTACTAGTATTCAAAACATTTATTGTGTAAGAGTAGTCTATATGGATTGTTTCTATCTAAATCCAAACATCTTAACTCCTAAACTCATACTGAGTATGACATATAAATGTCTAATACAAAAACATGTTCTACAATTTTTTTAAATGGATTATTAAACCACATTTTCATCATACAGATGCAAAAATAATAAAATTTTGTGTCGCTTACTGATTTGGCAAAATCCCTAGATACATGGGTTTATATATTTAGAGACTAAGCTCATCAAAAGGCGGCTATAAATGTATAATATGTATAATTCGATGGATATACTTCATTTTGGAGTGAATACTGCAAAAGTATTCATCAACACCGTATAATTCAAGTACCTACAGTAGGGTTTGGACTTTAAAGTTAAGAAATTAATTAGACATTGTTGGAAAAATTACTATCAACTGGATTCAGATTACATTAATGCTGTGGAAAAACATTGAAAATATATTACAAGCTAGGATAATCAAAAAGAAAATTATATCAAGCTTTATTACAGAAAAATTACATCTTCCCTCTTTTTCTTTCCTTGGTGTTTTTTCTTTAGCTTTGGAAAAATGGAAGTGGACGAGCAACAAGAAGGCTTCGAAAACGACGGTCAGACCACTGATGACGAGTTGAGTTATCAAATATATTGTGAAAAAGGGAACTTTTTCTGAGGATTTCGGCATGGAGTCGGTTATCATGGTCAGGCACACGGCAAAAGTCAGGAATATAGCCATACAGAATCCCATCTTTTCTCCGGAGTCAATGGGTACCACGAAGCTAAACAAATTTAGCACGGATAAAATAATTACTGGTAGCAATGTCGAAATTACAACATAAAGCGACTTTCTTTCTAAAAGAATGTTAAAATGTAATTGTCTCTCACTCCGTTTGGTCAGAGAATCTTCATATTCGTTTATTAAAAGTGAAGTGTTCCTGACGTTCCAAACTTCATTTGGTAGAAGATACTGGAGAAGGAAGCTGGAATACTTTGATTCAAAGTTGATGAACTCAGCGTCGGGATTAATATTGCCGAAATAAAGACCACAGTAGTGTGAATCAAAAGGATACTTAGTGACATCTATTGTACACTGGGACACACTCTCCATATATTTCATGTAAGAAACGTATCCAAATGAATGAACAGTAACTGGATCTTTATCGGCATTGAAACATTTATCGTTTCCTAATTCATTAAAAATACAAACGGAAGTCGGCGACCAGATATTACTAGCATTAACTTGAACGGAGCTGATATTCAGATAGGAGCTGGGGTCCCATCTAAGGCGCCAGTCCGTCCATGTAAGCCCCACCCAATATGATCCTTGTACAGTTTGCTGTTTTTCGTTCACTTCTGAAATCCCCATCAGATTTAATGTTACCGTTACATCGGTTTGGGTTTCCGCAGATTCGAATGGAGCAATGTCCGGATCAATTTTCGTGATTACGTCCTGGAATAGTTGTGACCTTGACGAGGTATCTGTTAGCCCAAGAAATGACATCAAAATCACTGTTCTGAATATTCCAAATGATTCCAGTTCCATGTTTCTGACTATTTCCTGAAGTCAATTACAATGGCAGGTCTCCCCAGCCACACACTTGAATCTGTTCGATGTTTGTCGGGTTTTCTCGAAAAATGTATCGAAACTCTAAGCAAACTTTGTCAAGAAAGAAAAGTTGGAAAATTTAAATCGTCCGCTTCCAACGTCTGTGTGGTAGGTAAATATGAATATAAAAGGAAAATTCAAACGGCAAACCGACTTAAAGAGAAACAAAATCTGGTTTGTTGTTTTAAGGAACACAATATAATCTTTTCTGCACACAGTCTCTTAATCTAAACCTATTTTCATATACCGAACTACACATTAATTTAAAAACCAGAAATATTGATAAGGATGTATTAAAAACAGAATAAATTCATTTCTTGTAAAAGATAATGTTGTTAGATGTTTTATATTGGTTTTTCTTACACTTAAAATGTATTTTTTTAGAATGCGCAAGACCCTTTAGAATAACGCCTAATTTTGAAGAAAAAAAAACCTTTTTAGACCCGTCTTTGCTCCTGAGGACAGTTAATTTATAAAGCTCTTCTCGTGCTATATTTTTTCTCGAAGCAGGAAACACATCCCTGGATTGATAAGGAATAGAAAGAGAGGACATACTCTCAATACCCTAATGATTATTCGGATGTTTGTGTATATGTTGTGTATATTTGAGCAGGAAGTCATTATACCTGTCGGTCCTCCAAAACGCAAAAGCTACCTTGCAAATGGTATAATGTCAAACCCGAGCCGATTTCCTCTTAAAATGTTGATGCATGACTGTGGTTTATTTTTTAAAACATAAATCGTAAATTTTACCAAATGTAAACGCAGCATTTGGGTTCTCTGGTAAAGTGCAGTCGTGCCAGAATCGATCTCCGTGTTTGTAGAGACTGAATTGGAAGGCGATAAGATATCGTAGTATACTCAGTAGTCTCCTCTCTTGGACAGCTGTCATGTTCTTAACGACCTGAAGACTCTATGCCACCTGATCCCACTCAAATAGCTTTAAAGTCCATTGATCACGCTCAAAATCAAAACTATTCGGCAAACGAGCAAATGTTGACTTCTAAATTCTTCAGAGATGGGATCATGTGCCATGAAGCAATTAGCATCCCCTTTGGATCTGTCACACTCTCCGTGTGCTCCTTGTCATGATATGGCAAATAGATGAAAATCGCAGAAATTTGCCTAATTGTTATTGGCCTTACAATATGTACAAAAAATGTCAACATTTGACCTGATGAAAGATTTCATTAACTTTTTTGCACTTACGGTCATTGTATATCGACCAATATTTCCACTTCTTATTTTTATCTCTGTGATAACTCTTTGAAACTTAGTGGAGTTAATTTCTTGATAAACCTGTCGGAATGTAAATTAGGCAGGTCGAAAGGCCAGGAGCTGGGGAGGCCTAATATGCATGCAAATCTCGTGCGCATCTGTCTCTGTGTCTGACGTCAAGGATGCCAAATATGCATGAAAATCTCGTGCGGCTGCAATTGTGTTTGACGTCAGTGGGAGAGGGCTATGGAAATTGGCAAGGGAGTCTTCATGTAATTTGAGTCTATGTCTACATTTTTAAAATATATATAAATCTAAAATTTTATTTCACAGTGAAACGGAAATATAAAGAATCACTGTCTAGTTCGTATAGTATGCCAGGGACATCAACGATAGTGGGAAACATGGGATAATTTAAGCATAACGGGTTTCGCCCGTTATGCAAATTATCCCATGTTTCCCACTATCGTTGATGCCCTGGCATACTATACGAACTAGACAGTGATTCCTTAATTGAACATGAAAATGATGACTTGAAAGGAGACTGTTGATATCCATGTTTCATTAATTTGTTAGTTAATAGCATTTAAAAAGGAATCGTACGTAGAGCACGCTCTTGCATATCGAATCAACTTCGTGTCGTAGACCCCGTATGCAGGTGATAAGGTTATATTGCTGAAAAAATTAGTGATCTCGTTTATCTAAAAGTTTTGTTGATATATAACCATTTATGCCTTTTTCTTGTAAAATACCCAATTATGAAGCAGAGATGTCAGACTCTGCACAGCTTTTATTTCAAGTTCACTGTAAATCGACATATCAATGGAAATTAATTACAAAGAACACATTACTATATTTACTTTTATTGCATACATTGTAGCAGATGAAATATCATAAAATGGGTGTTTATACTATATAATTGGCAATTACACTATATACATTATGGTCTTCTTTTTAGTTTTTTCTTCCCAAAAGTATATCCATATTGGTACATGTTTCTGAAAATTCCATAAAATTAAATATTCATATTTATATATTAAAATAATGTAAAACATGAGTAAAATTTACAACAATGTAACAATATCTGTGTGAATTTGAGCCGCTTCTAAATTTTAAAATTCGAAATGAACACCATGTGGAAAGACCAATAACGGCATGTTCTTTTTTAAAACAGAAGTGTTAATTATGCAGCATAAATCCTGAAAATGTGTGCATGGGCACCGGATGAACGATAAAACCAACTCCAGAAAACTTCCTAACCCAAACTCTATCTCCAGACTGTAAACTTAGGCAAGCCAAGTTGGTTCCAGTTTGGTAAATGTATTCTTGGTTTTTGTTCTGGAATCCTCTGCTATCTGCAAATGTTCTGACTTGACTTTTACCATTCAAAACTATATCTGTCGCTATTTTTCCATTATCCCAGGACACAATGGTTGTGTAGAAAACATAGCTTCCATTAAAGGGTGCTGTAAAAATCCCATCACGTGGGTTATAACCTCCTCCAACGTTTGTGATGACCTTTGGGAATACCATATCGGTTCTCGTTGTATCTTGTTGTGAAAATTGGTCATAGCCCGCAGTAAATGCAACTATACTCTTTCCATTATCATGCCGATTATCTAATAAAAAAAAAAATAGTTTTCGTCCGATTCCATAGATGAGACATTGAAATTTAAATCACAGTTTCAAAGCGACAGTACGGCTGAAATTTACCGAATATATTCATTAAAGAATAAGGTATAACGATGAATTCAGCAGTTTGAGAACCATAAATAATTATTAATTTTAATGAAATAATCAGAATTATTTACATATGAAACTTGTAATTTTCTGAAAGTGCATACATTTATGAGTAGTAAAAAAAAATTTCAAATCCTATTGGAATTTTTTTTTAAGTCTATTTTTCGTTGAGATGCTCCATATACTGTCACTTTAAGTTTTGGGGTATACAAAATGGTTGCTTAATGTATCCCTCTAGAAAATGGGGCAAGTTAAATTAACAAGATCAAAAAATAAAAATATATATAGTCTTACCATTCTTTTCTTTTGATGTATCCATAACATAAGCCAGCGTTGATGTCATATTTAGCTGATCACCCTCGATCTTCCTTGCCCAGCCCTCTAGTTTAGAAACTGAGTTACTGAGGTCTTCTTGCTTCATGGAAAGATTCTTAACCTCAATTTGAACATCTTCAAAAACAATTGTTGTTCGATTTAACATGGCCTGGCGATCCTCACTCGTTTTTGTTTCGGTGGCTTTTAGGCGTTCAGAGGTAGCCTGCATAAATCTGTCGACGGTTCTCAACTTTTGGTCGTATTTTTGAATCGTACCCTGACAATTTACTACAATAAGTAAGTAAGTAAGTAAGTAAGTAAATTTTATTTAAAGTCGGCATTGTATACATACATAACAATAAACATGAGCTCTGTAGAGCTCTTAAACCGACTATCACAGTTAAAATATCACAGAAAGACGTTTACACATAAATTATCATGCAAAAACACATGTACATATATACACATACAAACATGACAGATAAAATGAATTTTAAGAATTTAACAAATTTTAAGAGTTTATAGTTTCTATAGAATAAGTTAAAAAAAAATAGACAACATGAAAAGCAATATGATTGCATTAAGAGAAACAAAAATAAATATAACGTGAGTATTATAAATAAATAAATAAAAGTCATATAATAGTACATGTAATAAAATTAAGCACTAAGTTTAATTCATAAATTCAGATAAAAATAATTAATTGTATAATTAATAATATTAAAAATAAATAAATAAAAAAAACCGATAATTGAATAAATTTGAAAGTTTAGGAAATTTAAAATTCACACAGACATAGCTAAACCAAATTGAGAACGAAGGAAAGAATAAAAAATAAAAATAAATAATAATAATAATAATTTTAAAGTAATTTATGTTCCTCATCAATACACATCCTGCCTAGTGATTGGGTCAGTCCCTACCTACAAAGGCAAGATATGCATATTGTGAGGTTAAAGGAAAAAAAAATGAGATAGGTGATATCATTAGAGAAAATGAAAGATTTCAAAAATAAATGAAAATTCAACTGTTTCTAAACATTGTCTCATCAGCCATGCAGCCCTACGCTGTGGTTTCTGCAGGAACTGCATTTGCATTTTTCCCCCGTCCATGTCTCAATGAAAGTTTTAAATTGGCTGAGGGTGGAAAGTTCCCTAGCATGATTTGGTAGAGAATTCCACAGCGTAGCAGCCGCATAGCTGAATGACTGTTTTCCATACCTAGTGGTTCTTGGCCTAGGTAATTCCAGGGTCTTTTGATATCTAAAATTGTATGTTGAATTTTGCTGTTGAACTAAATCTTGCAGGAACAGTGGGCATTGATTGTTTATAATTTTGAAAACTTCAAGGGCCATGGCTCTCATACGCCTGATTTTCAGTGAGGGGAGGTTTGATTTTTCTAGGAGCTGGTCATAACTCCACAATGCTTTCAAGACGCTGATTTTCCAACTGAAGGGTGTTAATTTTAGTTTGCAATGTCTCTATCGTCTGTTGAAAGTTGTTCATCGCACTCTCAGTCGATTCGATACTTTGCTTTATAGAATCAACGTCTCCCACTAATGTATGAACATTCTTGGCCACAGCTAAGCCAATACCGGTGCCTTGGTTTAGCATAAGCTTCATAAATTCCAGTTCATTACACTTGGTCGCTTGTCCATCGTCTTTTATATCTGTGGAGTTGCGTTTTTCAGAACCAGTTAGCAAAGAGAAGTCCCTTGCCTTGATACTGACAATCAGCGCTGTCAAAAGAAGAAGAGGCCTCATTCTCTCTGACTATCCAAATGCAAACCGAATCTGCCTAATATATTGAAAGAGATATATATGCAACTCTCGGTTATTTCTACAGATAGGTGTATCTCTGTAAAAATACCAAATGCTATAAAATAAATATGTAACACCTGCCAATTCTGATTACGTAGATAAAAACATACTGATAAGACACTTTACATTATGTGCTTTTTCCTGAATTTAGCGTGATCAAGTACATTTGAAATGAGTAATCACACATTTATCATATCAATGCCACTTCATAAGTTTTATGGTTTCTATTTGTACACACAGATTATAGAAACAGATTTTATTGATTATGAACACTTTAATTCAGGCTTATATACACACAAACATAAAATTAACAAGATACAAGTTGCATTTAACAAGATGCCTTCTATATATCAAGTAAAATTCATCTTCCCAAGTCAAGACTTTCTGATCCGCTCCACTCCACATTTCCCAAGTCAAGAGTTTCTGATCCGCTCAGCTCCACATATGTGGAGCGGAGCGGTTCAGAAACTCTTGACTTTGGAAGATGGTAAAATTACGCTTCCATGTGCTTGTTATAAAGGTGTTTTAAAAAGTTAACATTGGGTCTTTACAAATCAGGATATTAAATAATTTTTAATTTAAAATTTGTGAATAAGGTTATACGAAAGCCTATTAAGCTCAAAAAAAAAAAATAAATAAATTTTCGCATTATAATGCGAAACCTTCGCGAACAGACGCGAAAGTTTCGCGGGTTTTTTAGCAAAAGTGTCGCGTTATAAATTTTTTTTTTAATCTATGAAAATGAGCCAAATGGGCTTTCGTGAGTATAGAACTCGTCAAAAAAAAAAAGAAAGTAACTAAAAGTATAAATTTATGGAATTCCTATGGAATGCCATATACGACAGCCAACTGCTTACTGCCAACTGTCAGCTGCTTACTGCTAACTGCCACACATGTTTGAATAATTTTTATTTTTATATTGATATTTATGTGAATTTTCAAAAAAAAAAACAGGCGCGAATCTAGAACATTTTTTCCAAGAGGGTCACTCATGTTAAAAAAATATCCAACCCAGATATTTCTTGACAAGAAAAAAAAAAAAGAAACGTAAGTCCTTTCCTTAATGTGAAAATTTATTTCGGCCGGGGAGAGGGGGTTCTCATGCGTCATACCTTCATGTCTATGACATTTTTTATACCAACTTAACACAAAACCGCGTTTTCGGGGGGAAGGGGGAGGGAGTTCTAAGGTCCCTTTAAGTTGATTTATTTTATACATTGAATAACTTTTATTTGGTTTGTGCATTAAATAACTTAACAAATTTCAGAGGGGTGGTCGGGACCTCTCTCTCTAGATATATGCATGTAAAACATATCTTATTTGTAAAAACAAAGCGATATAAATGTTTGATCGGCGTTTTCTACGTGGAGGGTCTAAGATCAGTTTTAGTTCATTTAGTTTATACATAAACCCATGACTGTACAAATTTTAAATGCCACCCCCCTCCCCCACTCCAACCCCAAGATATTTGCATGTGAAACATTATAACACACAGAGATATACATCTTTAATTTGAGGAAATTTTTAGCTGTAGAATATAATGGAAAATGTAAACTTATTTTTAAAACATCTTTCCCTGCAAAACAACAAATTCTTTTTTTTTCTCTCTCTCTCTCTTCAAAGGTTTTGTTGTCTTCGGGGGTTGGGGGAGGGTGTACTTCTTGAAAGATTAAAAGCAGAAAATAGTCATTTTATTATCTATTTCAAATAAGAAAACAAATTTTAAAAAAAAAATGTACTTTATCAATCGCATATATTGAATAAATGTTAATAGCCATTCTCTGTAACCACTTCAACTTCGTTGCCACGCATGGTCACCGATTTTGATGAAACTTCACCTATGCTTAGTACTTGACACCAGAAACAAATATCAAACAAAATTTCGTTGCTAAGTGTCTTGGTTGCTATGGCAACAGCCGGAAAATTTTGAAAAATCGAGATTTTCAGCCATTTTAAATCTTGGCTGTGGCTTAATAAAAACTAGAAAAAGCAAACAAACCATTCTCACAAAAACATGACACCTTGATGTCACTTATATTGTAAAGAAACTGTTTAGAATATATCTCTAAATAAGTGGTAACCAAGGGTACATTTGGAATACATTTAAAATGCTGAAATATGCTGAAAAATACTCCGTATTCACTAATGGTAGGTGTTACATGCTCAAACTCAATCAACGACTTAAGAAAAACAATGAAAATGTTTGACCTTTAAGTATATAAGTATAAGCAATATTTTTCTATAAATAATTTTCATGGTTGCCATGGTAACACAGTGTAACCATGCAAAACCAGTAACTAAAATTGGGTTAATGCTACTGTCTTGAGGAAAAACTTGAAAATTCAAGACTGGCAAATATGCATCCTTAGGACCCTGCAACACCAAAACCATAAGAAAAATTGGGTATAATTGCTACTTTGCAGTGTTACCATGGAAACAAAGTACCAGTGCTTAAAAGTGAATTATTTTTCGCTGCATTAAGAATTAAATTGCCATATAATCAAGAAACAAATTAAAGGACTCAGCTTGAATAATACTTATCTGTTAGAACTGAAGTTGAATATCATATATTGATAAAATTTGATGAAGAAAACAACACTGTTGCTATGGTTACCAAGAAGGGAAAATGTTCGATTTTGTGAACTTTATATCAATATTAAACCCTGTGTGCCAACTTCTTGCATCCACTTCGAGATTGGATGATAGTCAAAATTAAAAGTCAGGTTAGCTGTTAATAAATATCAATCATAAAAGTTTTGGGAATCTACATTTAAGGGTACGTATCCAAGGAAAGAAAATATTTTTCAGGTTTTTAAGCATATATTTTCTGCTTATTTCCATAGCAACGCTCTATTTAAAGAATCTAATCTGAATTTTTTCAAATGGGAAGACTTGGAACACACCAACATCTTTAAAAATTGATGATTAGTTATGAGGAAATGTGCTTTTTTAAAAAGATAGGATCAGATTTAAAAATACAGAGTGTTACTTTGAAGGCTCTCTGTGGTATAAAAACCTTGACAACCATTTCCAACCAAAATGAAATATCATATTTTGTTCTTGGTATATGTTTTAAGGCTCTTTTTTCTATTATTTGGTCACATTTCATCCTATAATTGCTTTTTATTTTTACGTGTATGACTTTATAAAATTCAATGAATATTTTTTTTTACTTTTGAATACTTTGTTACCATAGTAACGTATGTAATAGTTGATTTACCAAACATGTTTATCATGCATTTGAGACTTGTGACCTTCAACTTTTGGAAACAGTCATTGCCAATTGTTTGCTTTGCCGCAAATGTTAACTATGGGGCTCTAAACATGTTAAAAAATGCCATTTTTCGAACTTTAAGACACGTTGCCATGGTAACTATATAACATAGCAACCAATTTTTGCCTGATTACAGTTTAGGGTATCAATGACTTTTATCAGAGAGAGTTTGGAGAAATTCTGAGACTATGCGTG